TTGATCATCTGTCCATCACCGCCCTGACAATTTGATTGGATCGCCTGACAGTGGGCTTTAATACTCGCGCTACTATGGAGCAGAGCCAGACCGAACTTCCCCGAACTCAAACCTTGTGGGCGGGACTAAGTTCTGACTGGCACCCAGGCTACTTCTTCTTCCTTTTTCTAATGATTCCTCCAACTGTGGAGCTTTTTTCACCAAGCTGCTTGGTTATTTCCCAGCAGCCCTTTCCAGCCTTTTGGAGGTGGACAATTTAGTCTCTGGTGTCTTTGGATTCTTACTGATTGTTTGGGGTGGACATGTCTCTTATGGTAGTATAAATAAATGGAGGTGGACATTATGAAGGCAGACTAACAGGACTTTCTAGCTGATAGACGGGGGTGGTCAAATACTTATTTGCAGCTGAATCACACAAAGAAATAGTTTAGAAATCATATATTGCGATTTCTGGATTTTTCTTTTTAAATAACTTCTCTCACAGCCGACAGGCATCAACAATGATAATTGCAGGGTGTTCAAATACTTTCCTGTCCAGACATTCCAACCCAGGTTTTTTTTTTTTTTTTTGTAATAAAAAAACCAACAGTTTGGAAAAGTTAACAGTGTGTTACAGTAGTTTCTTAATTGCATCTGATTTAATAAAACCTATCATTTGATCCAGCTGTTAAAACACATTCAGGCATAATTAATGAAAATCTATCAGTAAAATTACAATCAAATTTTAAATAAAATCTAAATAATATGCGTTGTCAATATAATTCATTTTAGCTTTGCCGTGAGAAATTGTGACCAAGCCTTATTCCCAGGTAGAAATAATAGAAATAACTAGAACACAGTGAAACATTTTCAGGTTCATTGTCAGGTGTCTGATATTGCCTTTAAGGATTTAAAGATTCAGACATGTCTAGAACAAGACCCCACCATGACAAATCTTATCATAGTCTTTCTTTCTCCACCTTTGTTATAAACCTCTGGATTTAAGGTAAACTGTAATGGAAAGGGGAGCTAGAGAAGCTCTGCTGGGTAGTTCAGTCACTACAGACTCTGTCAGTCACATTGAGATGACACTCAATGCTTTCACTGGGTGTGTGATCAGTTATAAAAACTTCTGTGTAGAAGTTTCTCCAATTAAAAAACCCTGGATTACCAGTGACCATAAGTCAGACGTATGCTGTACGAGTTTTTGCCCTGTTCGGGCTGATTCTCCAGACATGTGAGAATTTTTCAATCAACTTTCAGCCTAATGGTGCATGGTGTACAGGGGTAACTAGGGGCGATCAGCCTCTAATGACCGCCTCCCCATCAGGAATCGTAAGGTCAGGAGAAAATCGAATTTGTTTGAAATTCCGTCGGCCGTCTTAGGGCGGTCGTGAGCAAATCGCTCAGTGGGCAACGAAGGATTCTTCTTCTTCCTCTCAGATGAAAACCCAGCAGCATGGCGGGGGTGCAATGATTGAAATGTAGTTCTTTCTGTAAAATTGACAGACCGTAGTAGCTATGTTAGCTCAGCCATATCTTTGTCCAAATACGTCGTCTCCTTTTCTTTTTAGGGCTTTCAGCACAAAGTTGCCCAAATATCCAAGGCAGCGCGTTTCACTCTAGTGAGCTTCATATTCCTCTTCTACTCATTTGGTTTCCGGATAGACGAGTCAGAGTAGCGCCAACTCACTGCGGAGCTGAGTCCTACCTGGTTTTTAGACGTAGAGTGTGAACAGGTAGATCGCATCAGAGCGTCGGGTCACACAGTGTGACCCGACGCTATGATGCGTGTATGCAGGGCTTGAAAGAACTGCTGAACAGGAAAAAAGAGCCTTCAGGAAGGGAGACGGGGAATTATTAAGGAGTTTAAAAATTAACTTAAAGTCAAGAGATACAGGAAAGCAAAGATCCATACAGGAGGAGGCTAAAAACAAGCTCCAACAAAACAATAGCAGAGATGTGGGATGAGGGAGGAAGAAGATGACGGGCAGGAGGAGGATCAGATTGATGAATTTAGGATGAACCTAAATTAACTGAATACCTTCAGTTAAGAAACACACTCAGATTTTGGAAAATAATCTAATTGCGATTTTTTTTTTTTTATCTTAGTATTGCGATTTAACGCAATTATTTGTTTTTTTTTATTTTAATTTATCATGTCTTTTTAAACAAATACAAACAATAAATTAAACTGCTTCACAATAATCATTACATTTATTTAAACCACAGATTACAGCACTAATGGAAACACATTTGTGTCTTTACCTCATTAACGTGTTTTTATGTTTGAAGCATGATTTTTAAATCTAAATACAAAATGCCAGATAATAACAGGATAGTCTATAAATACATAAAAAAATACAGGAATAGCATTGGGTGATCGGCAGTCAGTGGCGTCACGTATTCTATAAGTATAGAGAACAAATGTCTTCTTTCAACCGGCTGAAATTTTTATAGGTAAATCAAATGAACACAAAATAAATAAGTGCATGAACTTTTTAAATCCTAAGAGAAAAACTGTTTGTATAATTTTGAACATTATATATTCACTCAGTCATTATAATTCACTGTTAGACTCTGATACGGCTTCACCACAAATATTTAGTTGTTGCAAAAAAAACTCCACTGTTTTTTATTCTCTCACCTCTGATGGTTTATTTTCTACGGATCCCCTAAAGGGACATGGAGGGAAAAAAGAAACTTTTGTGAGATCCTGCAAAAGTATTGCGAGATCCTGCAAAAGTATTGCAAGATCCTGCAAAAGTATTGCGA